GGAAAAGGTATTTTAGCAACAGCTTTATTTGCTAATAATGGCATTATCTGCTTATTTGGGTACAGGATGAGAGAATACTGAAGTGTAATTCCCAGGAAGAGTTAAACTGCAAAAATGATTCATTTTTCATGGCCAGTCACCAGTTTTAGCAACTTCATCTTAAGCACACAAATACTAAAGTAAAGTTTGAGAACAGGCTGCTGGCAATGTCCTTTGAGCCCTCAACAAGGAAGCATGACTCTATTCCAAACCACCCAAAGCCAGCCCTTTGTACAGGAGCATTAGCACATCCCTGAAATCCCCAACAGTGTCATTTGTGGGCAGGTGACTCCAAAGGTTCATGGGAGCAGGGGCTGGTTTGTTGTTTTTTCTTTTTTCTGGAAAGAGGTTATTGGAAGTGTGGGCAGAACTAGATGTAGCAGAGCTGATAAATGATAGGGAGGCTTTGGCAGGAATCACTGGGCTGTTATCATCCTTCCTCCCAGAAACCACCAGATGCATCCTGCCAGGTCAGGCATGAAATGCAGGTGACAGAACTAATTGTGGGTGTCACCCGAGGAAGGTAGGAAATGTAGGAGGGCAGACACCCTTCTTCCCTTGGGAGTATATGAATGACAACACAGCACTTTATCCTTTCCTGTTATCCATCAGTAGAGGGCTGGTTTGGACCAGAATGCCCAAGTAGGTGAGTGGAGAATTTAATCCTGTGCAAAATAAGGGCTTTATTTAAAATACATAGTTACAAATACCTAGATAATCATTATTTTTGTGTGTTTGTGACCAACTAAACACTAGCTAGTGCTGTGTGCTGACTTGGGCCAAGCCTGGGGGCTCTGCTGGTCCAGCAGGACTTTCTCAGGGCTCTTGCCTCCAGCCCGTGATGTGTGAGTAGATCCCAGCTGAAGCTGCTCAATGCAGGCACAGAACTGAATGCCACATCAGCACAGCATGTGGCCAGGGACAACGTTGTCCCAGGGAGAAGGCAACTGGAGGTGGCCTTGTTTTGCTCAAAATTAGTGCTACTTAGTTGTGTTAGGATCTCACCTGCATATTCCCAGTAAAGTTATACTATCAGACAGAAGTTGTTTCTTTACATTAACGCATTTCTGCACAACGTTTTCATGTAGTCTTGTGAATGTTCCTATTGACATGCATATTCATTTATGCAAATGTTAGTGCTTATGATTCATCAATATGGAGACCGTGCACTTACCCTCCTTTTTAGCTCTTGTTTTGTCCCCAGAAAGGAAATGTCAGGGTGAATCAGAACAAAGCAAAACTCTTGGGCTGATTTAAAAGTGGACAAAACCTTGTGTTAGCCAGTGACACAAGAGCTGATCTGCTAGGTGATTTTCTCTCTCTTTCTGTCTTTTTTTTTTTTTTTTTTTTCTGGTCTAAAATTAGTTTTCTGTTGTGGACAAAGAAAAAGCTATTTAGTTCCTTAACACAAAAATACCATATTTCACTATTCATTTCATTGCCTGATGAAAGAAACAGCATCAGAGAGAATCACTTGCCATAGCAGTTCATCTTGTTACCAGAACCAGTAGAGTTTGCAGCCAATTTCAGAGATTGTTTCTTCTCCAAAATCCTATGTACATACTGCACTTTTTTTCCACTTCTTTATAGAAGACTCTAGAATTGTTGGCTAGTTTTCACTGCTCCATAGTTTTATGTGCTCCAAAACTAACAGCTTTCAGGCATGGCATACAGCTGGATCTTGTTTCTTCTTTTGTATATATATAAGTAGATATTTATATGTATATAACTAGTTACTTACACTAGTGCTGCCTGTTTAGATGGCAGTCCAGGAGGATTAAAGTGAAGGTAAAGTTCTGTTATTCCTGAACTGATTTTGGCCTGGGGATATATTACAGATTTTCATTCATTTATGTAGCAGGCTTTTATAAAACTGTCATAAAACTGTTTGTAAGGCCTAGGACGTTGAGCTGCACCACAGCAGCCAAAAGTCTTTTGTTTTAATAATCACAAAAATATGTAATATTTCCTGTGGGATTATTCCTTCAGTCTCAGTACCGTACAAATGTAAATATCATAGATACCACAACAATGCTATGAGGTAGGCTTTTAAATACTAAAGATTGAAAAGTTTAATTATAGAATTTAATCAAGTACCCTGCAAAATAATTATAATTTTCCCTCCACTTCTGTGTGGAAACTGAGTCACAGAAAAATTGAATCTCAATCGGATTAGGGTGTGCCTCATGGTGAGTGCTTTATGTTTTAAGTGCCTAATTGAAACAGACAGTTATAAGGCTCAGAGTGATCCCAATAAAGTTGCTGGAGCCACAGATACTCATTATCTGCAACAACTCTGGGTGTCCAAGGCTGGCATCCAAAAGCAGCTTCACCACCGGTGAATGTTCTTATAAAATGGAAGCCACACTGTCTGTCCTGGATGTGCTGTTACACATCTAGAATAGTTTTCACAGGATATAAAAGACATTACTGCTTTGGTCTCCTTTGATCCACATCTTCCTGTGTCCTATAGATGTCCTGTACTCTTGGTAGGCCAACCTTGTTAGGATGGTGAATTTGTGGTTTCCTTATGTCTGGTAATTGCTCTTTTGGCAGAGCTTGTTCATACTGAAAATGTTTTTCATAGACTTGCTGAATACATTAGTGCACAATGAACACATCCCAGCAGCAAGACTTTCAGATCTAATAGTCTTTTTCTCCCTTTTAGTGGTTTTACATTTGCATCAATTACAGCTGCCATCCACCTCAAACCCTCATCTGAGTGCTCAGGAAACATTTGCACATCCATAAAAACACAGGACAAGAGTGTCTTCCCCAGAACTCTTTATCTAAATTTGTCTGTAAGCAAAAACTGAACTGTCAAGTTAGGTGCCCTTTTGAACTTCAGGGTGTGGAACACTCTCCAGTCCTACTGAAATCAGGAGAAGTTGAAGACATTCAAAACACCAGGGTTATTCTTCTTGCCTCACCCCATGGCATGTCACTTTAGCCAGCACTGGTATCTGCCTACAACACCAAGTCTCCTCTGGATCTGTGGTGGTTGCTGCTGGACTGGCAGAGCTGCAGGTCTCTTTATGAACTGAAATGGAAGTTCTTGGAGGGAAGCTTCCAGTTCTGGGCTCCTCAGTTCAGGAGAGACAGGGAACTACTGTACAGAGTCCAGCAGAGGGCAACAAAGATGACTGGGGGACTGGATATCTCCCTTATGAGAAAAGGCTGAGAGAGCTGGGACACTTTAGCCTGGAGAAGAGAAGGCTGAAAGGAGACCTTATCAATGTATATTAAGTATCTAAGGGTGGGTGCAGGGAGGATGGAGCCAGACTCTGTTCAGTAGTTCCCTATGACAGGACGAGGGGCAATGGGCACAAGCTGGAACATGTAAAGTTCCATTTAAATATGAGGAAAAACTTCTTTGTGGTGAGGGTGACAGAGCCCTGGAACAAGCTGCCCAGGGAGGTTGTGGAGTCCCCTTCTCTGGAGATATTCAAGACCCACCTGGATGCAGCCTTCCTTGTGTGATATGCTGTAGGGGATCCTTCTTTAACAGGGGAGTTGGACTCAATGACCTCCACAGGTCCCTTCCAACTCTGACAATTCTGTAACTCAGAGTAATAATTTCTTCAAGAGGCCTCACCCCCACCCCGAGTAGTTTGGTTTCTAATTTTCTGAGCCTAGCATCTTAGTTATTACTGGTTTTTAGTCTTACTTTGCATCAATACCAAGTTTTCTTTGAAAGTGCTGTCTGTGCTGTAAAACATGACACTGAGAAGTAATGAGTATCAAGTGAGTACTAGTAATGCAGTTTACCCTGGGTTGAAAGGAAGGACCAGTGGAGTCTGGGTGTGCACCACTGCAGAGCTTTGGTGCAGAAATCTCAGGTGGAGCCTTTCAAGGTGGAGCCTTGAAAACTCCCACTGAGAAGATGAGCCAGACTTACCATGAAGATGCATTATTGTGCTCTCAAACACTTATTTGAATGACTTGAGATTGTATGCTTATTAAATGCTGTCTTATCTGCTCCCTGTTGATGGACTTGAGTTCCCTCTGGACTAACTGATCATCTGCACAAATCTTTGCAAGAAGTGAACTAAATTCAGAGATGATATTGGTGTCAGCAGCCCACTTAAAAATACATAGTTCTGTTCAACCTCACAGGTTTTATGCATTTAAGTCTGTCCTGAGTTATGCTGGCATGAGATCATGAATCATCCTGTGTTTGCTGACGTACTTGTGGGTACAACAAGAAACACAGATGGTGTAACTTGAATTTTCAGATTGGTTGTGGATATCTGCTGGTTCTTAAATGGATAATAAAATAGCTTAAATTATCTGTTTGATCACAATTCAGAACTGCCCTAAGAGTGTAACCAAAAATACAGCTGGGGTAGATACATGTGTTAAATATAAACAGGATGCTCACAAGAGAAATCATCTGCTCCTGATACTGATTTTCAACAAAATAAGTGAATAATGTTTCTTCTTAAAGGCTCCTGACAACAATTATAGTTTGTATAAAGGCATTGCCAAGAACCTTACAGAAAGCAGACTGAGGCTTAGGCCCTGTTTCTTTTTGCCTCTACTCTTATTTCAACTGCTGGACAAGATACTGTTAAAATAATAAAAAAAGAAGAAAAAGCAACTGTTAAAGCTCCTCAGTACTCCTGAGACTCACAGAAGTTTTAAAAGTATAACAATAAAACCATACCAGTGCTGAGGATTGTTTCAGAAGTCAGGAATCAGCAGGAGGTTAATGCAGCACAAACCTCCAGCACTCTGCACTTGCCACCCTGCTTCCCTGTACATGGATCAGAGAGCTTAGCTGGTTGAGTGATTGAGAGTCTTAACAGCAGGGCAGAGCAATTCCCTTCCTTAAACCAGGAGGTGAGATACATACTTTTAGTCTGGGAAATGTGATTTAAAAAAACAGGTTCATTTTAAAGCTGAGATTTTTGTCTGATTTTCTTCTGAGCTGATCTTTGGTTAATTATTCTTGTTTACAGCCTCTGGCCTCTCCTCTTCTCCATCTACCCCAACACAAGTGACCAAGCAGCCCACATTTCCTCTGGAATCCTACAAGCATGAGCCTGAGAGACTAGAAACACGGATTCACTGTTCCTCACCTCCAGACACAGGGCAGAGATTTTCTTTGCCTTCATCTCAAAGTGCAGCCAAGCCTCCCATCATGACACCAGCTCCCTGTGCTACCTCAAAACCAGTAAGTAAAGCATGTGTCCAGTTTTGCACTGGAAGAAGTACAGGGTTGTGTGTATCTGTTCTTGTATTACAACCAGTGGGTTAAAGCGTGTGTGTTTGTATTGTGGAACAAAACAAGAACCATGTCAGGGGGCTTATTCTTCAGACCTGTCTCAGCTTTCCCATTGTTCAGCTGGCCAGGCACTAGGCAGCAGTAGCTCCCCTTCTGATTTACCCGCATAGCAGCTAATTTTTGTACTGTTCTCCAAGTGAACTTTGCAGTGGCTACAGATCCAGGATACACTGCTGGGATGCTGCTTTAGAGAAGAATAATATTTTATTTAGGATTGTCTTTTATCTCCCTTAAGAAGAACCTATGATAGAGCTGGCAGCCAAGGACAGCATATAAAAAAGAAATTCACAGTAGGAGCTGCAGGGGTTGTGAGTTCCTGCTGCCTCTGGAGTCTGAGATGACTGGGCAGGTGGTGACTAATGGCGCTGCTGGCTATTACACCTCCTGCCCCAGCTCAGAGAGTAGAGGAAGAAGGGCAGCACTGCCAGTGTATTTATCCAGCCCCCCCACGTAGCAGAGGTGTCTTCATGAGAGTGGTTCCTTCTGCTCCTGGGAACGCATGTACTCAGCAGTTCCTGGAAATACATTAATTCCAGCCTCTGACATTGTCCACCACATCCACTCTGCACACTATTGTGCCTCCTCCCCTCTCCCCTGGCCAGCCTGAGCCTCGGAGGCATTGCTGCTCTTCTCTTTTTCTGCTTCTGTGCCTTTTTGCCACCTATTTCTTTTTTGTGTTAATTCCTTTGCATTAACTGTATCTATCCATCTGCTGCTCCCCTGCCTCATGGAACTAGGAGGCTATGATCTGTCACCAGAGATAACTACACTGCATCTGTTTCCCAGCTTTTCTTCTGTTGTGTTCTGGTTTGTTGTTTTTTTCCTTTTCCCCTCAGAGTATAAAATCTTTGACATTTTCTGTATCTAGAAATCTAGAATGTCTAAAGCACATAAAGGTTCATGAGGTCTGTTTCCCTGTTGAACCACTACAAGTTCTGTTTCGTTCCAGTTCTCAGGGATTTATTTAAAAGCAGGAAGTTTCCTCCCACTCACCCATGGAAAAGCTGTTCCAGTATCTGAACACACCAACACAGCAAACCCAGAACTCTGCCTTAGTGTCAGGTACCTCCCCAGCAGCAGCAGCAGCAGTTTATGCTGAAAGTGTCTGGGCACTCAATCCATGTCCACCTACTGCTTTTAAGTCATTCACACACACCCAGTAAAATACATACCCTATTTTGGGGAGACCTTCTTGAACTTTAGAAAGTCTCTGATTTTCAACCTAATTTTTTTTGTGGTCAGGCTATGACCATTTGCTCTTATAATTAAAAGCCATTTTCATTCATTGTTTGTTACATCCTGTTGTACCTGTAGCCAACCCTTGTTTTTCAAGATTAAGAAAGCCAAATTCTCCTTACAAAATACAGACTTTCTGTTCTGCTGCTATGCAAAAGTAAATAACTACAGTATTAAATAAAATAAATCCTGCACTTATAGCTAGGGAACTCCAGCAGTAACTTTTCTCCAGGCAACTCACTGCCTTTCCAAGTAAGTGATAGTCTTGGGATACATAAATCACAAAATTCAAAGGCTTGTAGGACAAAAAAAATAGTTTTTGTTGGTTTCAATCAGTCATATAATTTGCATATGAATGTGTTTATCTTTGTTATGCAGCTACAGAGAAGTCTTTTGTACCTGTTAGAACAGAAACTGGAGGAAAAAACAAAACCTTAGCACATTCCACTGACCAAAAGACTGAAATGTTTGTTTTGTTTTGAATTATTTGCTGATGCAGACAAGAAGAAGTTGAGTAGAATATGCCAGAATAAAGAAAAAGAATTCTCAGCAAGTATTTGTCAAGTGTTGTGGTTGTGTGTGTGTGCAGGAGAGAGTCTGGATGGAAACTCAGTACGTTGGACAGATAATGATCTGTTCAGAAAATGGAGGCAAACATAGGATGGGTAGTGCTTGATTATCTTTGGTTGGTACCCTCTGTACTCATTTCTGTCTGAGAACAGGGAGTGTGCAGGGCTGCCAGGGAATCATTAGGGTTTTTGTTTTACTTGGGAACAAATGTCAGCAGCTACAGCTCTGTGAGGAACAAATCCCTGGATGTTTCCTTTTCAACTGAGAGATTTGCCATGTTCTAGTAGGAGAAAGAGGGGAGAAAGGATAAATTTCTGCAGAAAGGTGTGAATCTGAAGCTGATGGGTGTTCACTCTGGATTGTTCTGTCTTTTGACCCCTGTCAGTATCTCCCTGGCACACCTTTACAAACAGGACAACAGTAGACCAACAGTCTTGATTTGAGTACTGTATTTCAAACATTTCATTTATTCTGAGCTGTGTGCTCATTAAAACATATTTTCTCAATGCACATGCCATAAACTGATCCTTAAAAGGCAAACTAAAGTTCTTGTTTACTTAGATCACCATTTCTTGGCGTAACAATTCCAATTATCTTAAAAACACACTATAAATTATATGATAAAGGGTTTCCTAGTGGCCACGTTGTTAGATGATCAGTATGATGACAGGGAAGCTTCTATGTTGACATCTGAAATGAGAAGATGACCCTTATCTACAAGGCTCTGTCAACTTAAATCTCATTTACTTATTACATTGTTTAACTAGTGATGATAATCTGTGCTATCCCAGAAGTGTTATAAATGATTCATGGCTGCTCCATGTATTGCAAAGAGGAACCCTTGGACCAAGACCTGCGATTATTATTTAAAAAAAACAAAGATGAGCAGGTAACTAGAGGAAGGTGCAGTATCAGGATTTGGAACTAATCCTAGCCCACTGTTACTATTAACTGCCTTTGAGGTGGTGGATACTTGCTTTTATATGTCTGAGACTGTGGAGCAGATGGTTAAATCTGTTCAGTAAGAAAGAAGGAATGGAGGAAAGAACTGAATCACAAAATGGTTTTGGTTGGAAGGGACTTTGAAGATCACAGAATCATAGACTGCCTTAGGTTGGAAGGGACCTCTAAAGGGCATCTAGTCCAACCCCTTACAATAAACAGGGACATCAACTAGAGCAGGTTGCTCAGAGCCCATCAAGCCTGACCTTGAATGTCTCCAGGGATGGGGCCTCCACCGCCTCTCTAGGCAACACATTCCAGTGATTAACCACCCTCATATTAAAGAACTTTTTCCTAAGGTCCAACCTAAATCTACCCTTTTCTAGCTTGAAACTATTATCCCTTGTTCACCTAGTTCTACCTCCACTGCTATGGGCAGGGACACCTAGTGGACCAGGTTGCTTCAAGCCCCATCCAACCTGGCCTTAAACATTTCCAGGGAGGGGGCATCCACATCTTCTCTGGGCAACCTGTACCAGTGACTCACCACCCTCACTCTAAATAATTTAATCCTAATGTCTAACCGAAATCTCCCCTCTTCCAGTTTTGATACATTTCTCCTTGTCCTCTCACTACACACCCTTGTAAAAAGCCTCCCCAGCTTTCCTGTAGCCCCTCCAGGTTATGGAAGGTGCTCTAAGGTCTCCTCAGAGCCTTCTCTTCCCCAGGTTCAACAGCCCCAACTTTCTCAGCCTGTCTCCAGAGCAGAGCTGCTCCAGCCCTCTTATCATCTTTATGATCCTCCTCTGGACTCACTCCAACAGCTCCGTGTCTTTTCTGTGTTGGAGGCTTCAGAACTGGACACAGCACTCCAGTTGGGGTCTCATGAGAGTGGAGCAGAGGAGGAGAATCCCCTCCCTTGGCCTCCCGGCCACAATTCTTTTAATGCTGCCTAGGACATGGTTGGATTTCTGGGCTGCAAGTGCACATTGCCAGCTCATGTTGAACTTCTCATCAACCAACACCTCCAAGTCCTCCTCAGGGCTGTTTGAATTCAACCCATTCTCCACCTAACCTGTAATTATGCTTGGGATTGCCCTGAACCAGGTGCAGAACCTTGCACCTGGGCTTGTTGAATTTCATGAGGTTGGCATTGGCTCACCACTCAAGCCTGTCAAGGTCCCTCTGGATGGCCTCCCTTCCCTCCAGCATGTTGATCACACCACACAGCTTGGTGTCATCAGCAAACGTGCTGAGGGTGCACTTGATCCCACTGTCCATGCCACCAACAGAGATGTAAAACATCACCAGTCCCAGTACTGACCCCTGAGAAACACCACTCATCACTGATCTCCATTTAGACACTGAGCAGCTGACTGCAATTTTTTGAGTGTGACCACACACCCAATTCCTTATCTACCAAGTGGTCCATCTGTGAAGTCCATGTCTCTTTGATTTCAAGGCAAGGATGTCGTGCAGGGCAGTGTCAAATGCTTTGCACAGGTCCAGGTAGATTATATCAGTTGCTCTTCCCTTATCCACCAATTCTGTAATACTATCCTAGATGGCCACCAAATTTGTCAGGCAGGATTTGCCAGCAGTTCAGCCATGTTGGCTGTCACCAATCACCTCCCTAACATTCCATGATTATCCATGTGCCATAGCATAGTTTCCAGGAGGATCTGCTCCATGATCTTGCCAGGCCCAGAGGTGAAGCTGACTGGCCTGTACTTTCCCAGGTTCTTCCTTCTTTCCCTTTTTTAAAAAATGGGGCGTTTCCCCCTTCCCAGTCAGTGGGAACTTCACCAGACTGCCACAACTTCTCAAATATTATGGTTCAAGAATAAAAAAGAATAACAATATTTATTGCCCAGCAGAGAGATGTAATCAAAACCTTTCATGTTTTAGTAGCACTTGGAACAGCATATGTTTTGATGTGATTTTTAAGCCTTAATTCTGAAAAGAGTAATAAAAAGTGAGACAGTTCCTGACAGAGGGAGATTCTCCTTCAGCAAGTATCATCTCAACAAACCTAAGCAATTAAGCTCATGCTAAGATTGTGATAATCACTATGGTCTGAGTTTATCCCACCTAACTTTAGAAACCTATCTGAGCTGCTTAAGTTGGGAGAAGAGTAGCTCAAGTTTTCTCTATATCTCAGAAAGAGGCATTTTCAGGGGATGAATCAGATCTTCAGTGGGCTGGACAGCCTTTTTTGTGGATTATAAGTGGAGTGACTCCGGGTGTTGCATTTCTCAGGTACTTCTGTTAGGTGCCAGATGTGATGAGGCTGTGACACACCAGTGCAGCAGCTCTTACAGGCTCTCCTCAGGGTGTTTAGCTGTTCCTAGTCATTGAGCTAGAAGGTTATAATGAGAAATTCAGCTGATAAGAGATCAAAGCTATGCCAAAAGATTACTGTGTACTGCATTAAAAGGAGAAGGAGCAATTTGATTTTTCGCAGTACAGTTCATGACTCTGTACTTTGGCCTTGTGTTGTTTGGACTGTGTAACCTTCAGGTAGTAAGTGGTAAATGATAACTCTTCTCTAATGTGACATTACTAACCATGGAAGGAATGTAGAGAGGCTGCAACTTCAATCCTGAACATGTTTGCCCTGTTTTTGCTTTGCCTGTCTTTTCAAGTGGAATGTAGCATGTTGAGCTTAATGTGGTCGTAGCCTTTTAATTTCCTTCTTTCTTCTTCCACTGATGCATAAGACACTGTGAAAACAGCAGTCTTCCCTGTCTCCTGCAAACACAAGCATTTTTGTGGTACATTATTTCTTGGTCTTTATGGGCTTCCCCTTTCCTGGCATGAGAGGAGTCCAGGCCAGAGAAAGAAGATGCCAGCTCCAAATTGAGGAGCTGCCTTTGAGTTCTCTTTTGGTGAAAAACAGGGTTGAGGCTTCCTCTGCTTGGAAGTGACAAAGGCAGAACATGCTTACAAATGGCCCTTTCCAGATGATTGTGTAGTGAACCACTGCTTGCCAAGCTACTTCTGAGCTCAGCAATTTCCCAGAACTTTCTTAAAAGAGGGGATCTCAGCCAGAAGGTAGTCTGAGACTTACTCTAAGCTTGTGTGAGCAAGTCTTGTTAAAACTGCAGATACAGCACACAGGAGGAACTGGAAGAGTCCGATCTGCATCCATTTTACACTGTCCTTGCTGCTGCAGCAGATGGTAGAGAAATGTACATCTGGGACTTAACCTTTCACTCGTAGATACGGA